AATCATATATAGCAAACGTAGAATTACTGATGCATTACTTACCGTATTCTGTGACATATTGTATGATTCATTTCTAATCCCAACATTATAGATATAACCCATATCCATCACTACTTTGTTTATCATACCATTCGGTCCTCTGCATTAAAGTAAACATGTAACAACTATTGTATATCGGCTGTATTTGTAAAATCAGTCAGGAAACTAGATTTCTTCAATATTCATATCAGACACTTTTCGCTCTTATACACATATATACAAGGTAACAGTATATATGTAATATAAATGTTGAAATCTTTTAAGGAACTTATGGATCACGTTTAAAGGTAATGGTTATTGGTCTTGCTTATTTACTGTGATTTTCTGCATTTCATCTTAACATCTGAACAGTAAATCTATGCATGAGTGTGGATTAAGCTCGGTTATTAGGCATTCTCATTTGGGGGATGCCTGCTGGCAGAGTGGGCGATTTGGTGCTGTGGTCGTTACTTCGAATCAAACATATAATTCTTTCTCCATATAGAGCATTACATTTCTAAGAATTTAACTATTTAATTTGATTAAAAAAGTATTGGGACTGTAAGAGGAATATATGTACCAGCCTGAGGGCTTTATAGTTATTATTATAATATCACTTTGACTTTTCATTAAAAGTTGCAACCAGGTCATCACAGTCGTACCGGAAACGTGAGTTTTAGCTATTGCACATAAAACACATACGTTATACCTTGACCTCCGATCCCCAAACATAGCGAGGTCTTGTGAATCACATGGGAACTATGTGTGCCAATTGTCATGACACACGTAGTTATATAGTACCAAATCACATAAACATGATTTGACTTAATAATGACATAATTGAACATTGTTCCTACAAATGTTACGTTCTCGTATATAAAAAATTAGTAACTTTATGTATTACTTCTTACAATAAAATCATATTTGCAGTTTTATTTCGTTTAATGTACAAATAATACACACACACACGAACACATGCAACGAAACTGAACGCTATGTTGTGGAGATAAATATATCTAATTTGAAGTAGAAATTCCTTTGTAGTTACGTATCCACAAATACAACAACACCACCCAAACAATTGTTTACGCACCGGACTCATCATCAATGCAAACTACACTTTAATATTATAGGTTCGAGCAATCACGATTCAAAAATCGTTTACGAATAACGACAATTGTGGTTCACCTTATTTGACAATTCGAACTATGAACTAACAACGATCATATATATAACTGGGACAATTTGATGCAATTTACTACTAAGCGCGCGCGATTCTGCAAATCAGATACTTACTCTTCCTCGATATCTGGTTGCTTGGCAACATCAACGCATGGTAAATTGCTGCCGACTGATGCCACATATACCACACACACAGACACGTCACCTGCATCAAGATCGGGATTTGAAGAGAACGAGACGTTACAGGGAATTGACGTGCCGACAGGTACTTGGATGGTGTATGTATACTTCACAAAGCCACCGAGAGATACAGCAGAATAGGTGTCATCGAATATATCCAAGGTAAACGAAACATCTTCATATGGCTAAACAAAAAATAATAATTACAATAAATAACACTTATTAAATACTTAATGTTAATTATTACGGGTAAACAAAGGCATTTATTAGTAACATTTCCTCTAATTAAGGTATTGACAAAAGAAAATCAGTCAATGATTCAGACATTTTATGAAAGTTACCAAACATGCGATTATATCAACATAAATACATCATCTGAAAGCTTAGATATAGGCGAATACAGCTGTGCAAATGTCGTACCAATGTTCATCTGAGGTATTAACTGATGGTTAATTTCGCTATTTGTGTTTTCGACTATTAAACACACTGTTTTCAACACTTTCCATCACGCGAATGACCTGTGAATCGCATATGACGTTCGTAACGCTGTAGTTTGCACGATCGAGTCTCGGTTTCCCTTTATCATTCAAACCAGGAATGATGTTGGACAGTAATGTTTTGTGGGTAATATGACAGATTGAGCTCACTATTCTACTTACCAACCAAATAGTTGACATGTGTGTAGTGAAAATAACCTGTCCAACCCATATACTAGTTTCATTGTGATAAACAGCTCCTGCGCTGATCCGATAAGTGCCCCCTTCTTCCACATTAGCATCGTCCACCAATAATGCCGTAAACTCAATTATGATTTGGCTTGAGTTAATATTGACTGTATCAATTCCGGTGTTGGTGACTCTTTCAAGATGAAAGGTAGCTGTATCAGGCTACAACAAAATAAATAAATGGTAGAATCTTTCGTAGAGTGAATTGTGTGTATGGTATATGTAGATTTACCTCACTGTAAGTACATACATACAACCAACTTTACCTGTAACGGGTTCCCGGTACTGGAGTCTATAACCGGTTGTTCGTCGCCTTTTATGATAACATTGCTACCCACGAACGCGATGTGCGGTGTACAAATCACAACAGCAGTTATGTTTCCATCTGTTGTGTAAAGTTCTACACTTATATCGGTTTCTTGCAATGGAAGCGTAATAGTAAGACGCAGAGACACCGCTGTGCCGATATTCAAATCAGCTATCTCTCCAGGCACCTCCCCAATCCTTTCTAACGCAAGGGATACGTTTTCTGCAAACACAATTTGTTCAACAACCTAAAATAAATCCATAAAAATTATGTACATTATTTTCATCGAGAAAACCATTTAGAGCCCAATTGTAACCAATATGAACTACATCCATGGTATATCATATATCCAATTGTACATTAAAATCCCGAATCCTCGACCACCAAAAGCTGATAACGGCAATTTATTAGCGATATTAATGTGAGGAACCACATTATAATAGTTCTCGTTTGGCCTGTCTTTTATAGAAATTGGTTAAGTACAATCTATGTGCCAATCTTCGAAGATTATCTCTTTCCTTGATTGTAAGAATAATGTCCGTTTTAGCTAACCTTGTCAATCCGTGACACCTGGCGACCATTCATTATATAAAATACATGGCAAATAAAGTAAATATGATTATGCCAAAAAATCATTTCTCAATATTGAAAACGACAACGGAAATTGAATTTTACCCAGATTTTCAAATGCGCATCTGTCGAATTGAAATACAAAATCCATATGAACATATCACAATATGTGATGAATTCAACATTGTCGAGTGTATAGCGCACAAATCTAAATTGAAAATTGATATATTGAAATCAAAAGTTCTATATTCAATGTGTATTGGTAGGACCCACTACACCCGACCTAGTTTCGACGTATACGCAAAGGGACCGAAATATCCGGCGGCAGTCAAAACATTGTGGGGCTAGGGATCAACCAACAGCATTTCAACAACATATTGGAGTAGAGGGCGTGTCACCTTGCCAGTGTATTGCCAATACATACAGACAGACACATGCTTCGTTCTTGAAACCGGTCATTCATTAAAACGTTGAGTCTACCTGCTCTAACCGGTAGTTCTAATTCCAGTACTTCTTCCTGCACCTTGATATTAGCCGGCATACTGCATGCACCAACCCCAACCACCGTGACTATTACGAGCGAGCTTCGTATTGTTCTATGCGCTGTTTCGTCCCGTGTCAGTGCAAATCATGTCGACATATTTCAACTTCCAGCCAATAGAAAACGCCGTAATATTAGAGGTGTGGCTTAAATGACATTCTACTAACTGTTCACCCAATGAAGATGACTCCAAATCATTCGTTTATTCAATTAGACTGTTTCAGTTTTCAGCTGGCTTGGATCTCTTTCCGGTTCCCCCGTCGAGAATGTTTCTATGTCAAAGGGCCGGTTATGGCAATGCTAACTTGTATCAAATCTCGACGGTTTTTTTTGTTATCTTGAAAATAGGACATGACCCAGATGAAATAATGAAATTTGACTCCAATATTCCAATTTTCAATTTGTCGTAGTACGCCCTCACTCCAATTTGAGCTTGTATTTTGAAAGTTTAACTGTGATAATGAGAATAAAATAATGAATGGCCACAGTATGTAGGGCAGATGTACGCATAATTTAAAATGGAATAAAACCGATGTGGCTTTATTACTTGAAGCATTAAATATGGATATTTTTCATAGTCCAAGTGTAAATTTCAAAGACGAAACCTGACGTTTTGCCATAATTCCATCTTGTTTATTTGATACACACACGAGAAAATGAATGGCCGCCAGGTGTCACGGATTCTTGTTGCCTTATTTTTTGTCACATGTCTCGACACAAAAAGGGCATGCGAATCACAAATATTATTAAAACGGAATGCCATGTCTTAAATGCCAAATTTGTGTTGAATGTATGCATAATGAAGGTGAATTTGCGTTGACCGGCTTGCATAATTTAGAAGTAATCATATATTCACACTTGTGCGTGTACAGGAGTGAACCACACGTATAATATTATATTTATTATTAATATTCTCTGTGTAATGAATGTTTATATAGCCTTGCCTTTGCAAGGTTTGTGTTTTTGCGTTGATTTTTGTAATCTATAATACAAAAATGTGCAAATTACTTTAATTGAAAACGGAAATGAAACTCGATTTTCAACTTACTCTTTTGCTTCGCTTATAGTTAAGGTGAGAATCGCTATCTTCTACGGCCACGACACTCACTTTAACATCGGATGTATCAAGAACATGTCGTAACCCCAATTCTTCGTCGTCATAGACAGCGATTACCTGAGATAAGTAAACTTGACCAGCGTTCAACAGAGAACCATCTTTAACGCTGATCGCGCCAGATGTTGAATCTAGATCGAACAGACTTCCAAATGTCTCGTCTGTTATCAGGATCTTCACATCTTGTTTACAGTTGTCTGCAGGTTCGTAGTTCGTGACGTCAGCAACCAGGAATGGTGTAGAATGATAATGATTCTGCATAATTTCTACTTCGTATAACGATTCTATGAACTCTGTTTTAATAACAGCAGCTGTAAAAACATTCTATAAGTTTTGCTTTTGCATCTTATTCTGTAAATGTACCACTGGGTACGCTTCTTATTATATACAATTCTTTTGTCAGTTAGTTAATATTTAATTTAATCTGTCATATTTCATTTCAATCATTGGTGTAATTCGCATCTACAAATTGAAAATCATTTTTGAGTTGCCTATATACAAAACAGTAAATGAACAATTACAATAATGTAAATATTATATAGGGACTATTTGAAAGCATTTGTAGATAAGCTGTTTGTCTAGAAACATACGAAGATTTTGCGCGGATACTGATATCTATAATTAATTGATTACGAGTTTTTACCCATTTTATGTGGAAATTGAAAATCGACACCCTTTGATAGAGAATATCGATATCGTCATTTAATGCTTTTTAACATATTCTATCTACTGCAATAATTGATTTTTGCTAATACTAAGTGAAAGGTATAGATTTATCATTCAAAATGTACACAAATAGTTCAACGTATAATGTACCTGGTTGAGTACAATTAGTACCTGTCCCAGCATGCATTGCAGACGCATTCGTCTTTGCTGTTACAGTAACCATAGAAACAATTGTACTCCTCCAATCTGCGAATAAAGTGAATGTAATTAATTCATATTAAATGAATAGTCTTAATTTGTAGTTGATGTAAACAAATAAAATGCAACGTAACTTGATACATATACTATATTTATTTTGTGTTGGGTGTTTAAATTTATCATACATCGAACGGTCGGTGGTGCAATTTCCCAGAGTTCTTCTGTGAAATCCGATTCCTTGTTCGACTCATCAAATACGGAACATAATTGTGCCGTGTTATTAGCACTATTTATTATTTCTTATCACTACACACGTTAACAACTCAAAACCACGAAGTGTTTTACTGTTGTTCATATACATGTTTATGTTCACTGTTCAATAATTAAAATACTTTATATGTATATTTCATTTTCAGAACGAGTAATCAAAAAGAAAACAGGACAATGTGAACTAGCTTATCACATCCAATAAATCTATATCAATAAATTCATCCAACCGTTCCATTATTTATAACTGTAAACTGTAATATAATTTCTAATGTTGTTACTGAATTACACAGTGTGTATATAAATCGCTAATCAGCATATCGATGGACTAATTAGTAGCTTCTATTTATTATAAGTTTGTTGAATGAGGTTTGGAGAATACTTACAAACATTTTGAAAATGTACGCTCATCTGCTTTGACGTATTTCTGACAAATTGGTACCTGGCTTACAGCGATGACTGGAATAAAGTACGGTAAGAATAAACAAGAGAAGAAGGCTGTGGCGTTGTCCGTTGAATAAACTGCTGGGTAACTGACACTCATAACATTACATAAAATCAGCAGTAGGCAGATTTATGTACCACAAAGCATACAGTCATGAAGTCGATCTAATTAGTAAGTTATAATCCACATCAAACACGTGCTCATCCTTGAAAAAAAATTCTCCCACATGATGAGGCAAGTCCTTTAAATGAATCGAAAATGTCATTCTAAACTCGGAATATACTTTACGCACGCTGCAATAGCACGTGGGCGGCGAAATGTACATCCATAGGCTGGGAAAGTGAAACGCTGCTGTAATGATGCGGAGAATAAAGATGAAATAATTCCAACTATTACGACCTTCTCCCAATTGATACATGTTTCAACTAGGCGGTAGCAAAATGAATCTAAAGACATTAGTTTAAGATAAGTAGGAAAAACTGGCAAGAGCCCGCCACCGCATGACATTATTTACTAGTATTATATTATACTACAATTGCAATATTAACAAACTTACCGGAATTATAAGAATGGCAAATAGCAATAAGCAATAACAGGTAGTTTCTCTGTGCTGCCATGGTCATATCAAATGCACATATTCTTGTCAGTTTGTCATCCAAGTGGACAAACATCACGTGACATGCTATTATACGGTGGCAACAATTACGCCGATAGTTTATTTGATTCAAACAGGTATTGATTTTATCATTTGTGGATCGAATTATACCGACCTCCACTCCATGCATTAAGCTATTATTGACTTGTTTCCGTTATACTATTGAAATATATCTATAATTGTTAAATTACCACGTGTTCAAAATCATTTTTGTGTCTTGCACTAAATTGATTGTAAGACAGTTATACATATTATAAATACACCAAAGAGAAGCTGTCATATAAGCACGATACAATGCCCCAAATAAACAATTCTCTATATTTACGTTTTTTTTTTAATTCTGTGTTAATTATTTGTTTAACAAATTATATGTGCTACATGTTACAACTAGGTCAAAATGGAATACACAAATAGCCTAAGATCATCCATCCCGTTCACATTTTCTAGAACAAAAAGACGTGTACCAACTCTAACAAGTGAAATGTACACCGTTTTTATTTATACACGTGGAAATAATTATATACAGGCAATTATCGTTGCCCACTGTCGTCACAAACACAAATCACAAGTAATATAAACCTTGTTCAGAAAACAAATACTATGATATTAATACATTATAATACGTGTCACAATGTATGTTGGGTATGAACTCCGTTGCACGCTGATAATAAATTAATTTATTCAAATTGAAATAAATTATACGTCTGGGAATATATATTGAGTTACACATATGTTAAGGTCAGATTCAATCTTAAAATATATATAAACAATATGCAGATTTTAGTGTTCTTGGAAATCAATTTACAATCAAAAGTACTTTGAACACAATAACTAGTTGTCTTTGTTATAATTTTAATTAATATTAACTATACAATTATTCAAGCTGAACTCAACATGATACAAATTACAAATTCATTACGAGAATACATCAAAGTAAGAACGAGGGCAGTACGGTGACATATCGGTCGACGTATCTTTTTTTATTTGTAGTCGCTATGTTTGATATATATTATCTCGTAAGTCCAGCGAAACATATTTTACGAGATTCGTGCCTATGTGAAGGGTTCCTTTCAGTGACGTAATTATATTTGAATGCGCCCACATGGGGTTTAACGGACGGCTGAATCGCAATGTAGAATAATAAAAAATATCCACATTATCTCGCTAAATGACATCAATATATTCCATACAATTGATTGTAAATTGCAAATACTATTACATATTACCAACAATTACAGTTCGATTTGTTTCCATATATCAACAATAACGTTTCCATAAAACACAATCACGAAGATGGATAGGTCCATTCACCAACTAATATCCAAGAGCCAAAAGTCAACGAAGAAGTGTCGTTGACAGCGGCCTGTGTGTCTACTTGACCCAGTCTCTTAAAAATACCCCGCTTGGCAGCTGAAATGAAATGGTATATTACAGTGAAACAGATGTTTAACGCAAATCTGAATATTCAATAATGTCATAACATCTCTCCGGTGATGGTCGAGAAAGACATAGCAAAATTTCGTAAATAATGTATATGGTCTAAATCGAGACTCTGGTATTTTGACTAACCTTGGTGATTCGCCATTTCGATATAAAATAATTTTAGTTCAATTTCTCACTTATTTGCAGGTAAAATTTTAAGTGGTATATATTTCAAATGGTGCCTGTACTTGTATTGTTATTCACAATCGATACCTGGTTTGACATATTCATCTGTTTAGCGATACATACGCCGCCCTCTATTGCACGAATGCAATGCCGTTTGAGTTCGTGCAACTCGGAAAAGTGATTAAAATAATTTTTACCGTGGCGGAGACGGATTGTCACACAGATAAACTCACCTCCCCATTGATAATATTCATCGCCTGATACATCTTCCAATACACTAGACGGATGAGGTTCATCCTCGATGAAATCAAATGGTACACTACGAGCCTTTACAACTTCTATAAAGGCATCTGTTTCATATTCTAGGTAATTATCAAATACGACCGTATTCCAGGTTAATCCTAGGTCATCGCTTCTCATCACAGCTCTCTTGTTCTGTGCAATACCGTACAATTCACGGGTGGATGGTATTGTGGCTATCACGTTGGCAACGTTATTGTCAATATCTGAATATTGATGGTATACATGAGATGGAAATATTATAATACATAAAATTACTAATAGGTGTGTATACATATAGAGCCATATATCCACTACATTCTCACAGACACGTCACATTTATTACAAAAAAATACAAGTAGAATGATAAAAACAATGATATAAAAAGTTCACAATTATGAATAAAGACGAGTTTCAGTATCTTCAACATCATTCGTGATACAAAACAGTATACAACAGAAAAATAATACAATTTGAATATACAAATAAGCGAATATAATAAAATAGAGATTTAAAAGTTAAAATTACAAACTGAGTTTTCTTTTCTGTAACGCCTTATAAGTACATTTTAGCACACTAGCATCTGTCATGCGCATTATAAATATACATTAATCGGTATTTGGGTGGTTGACATATTGACGTGGTAAGTAATGTACTCGCAAATCCCGATAGGCGGGGCAAAGAAGTATTCGTCTTGCGCACTGGTATTGTACCATTGCATTCTTTATAGTATCTAGCGACACTGACAATGCTTTGATGTCTTCCCACTTTTAGTGGCAAACATTAACAAGGGAAACATGCCATAGCTTGAATCAATTTGGGATGATAATTTATTAATAGATGTTTTCCAACTGCAACGCGCTTTTATAATATTTCTACATACACAATTTAGGTTTGTTGCAAATATTACTCCACGAGTTTTTGTACAAACCATACGTATCCAAAACCGTGAGAATACAACAGTTCTTAACAGTTATAAGTTTTAGCCAGAAATTTACCAGACTCACAAACCACTGATTCTCTAGAGCAACTTGGCGGTCATTTTCAATAGCATCCAACAAACTTAAATCCCAAATTTCAGAACAATTAATCAGTAAAATCACTGTATAGTATTAGTATGACAGATCATAAGGTAGATACGGAAAGGTAGCACGGTAGCCAGAAGAACTTGAAAATTCAGAGCTGGAAATATACATACATGTTGGTTTACATATTGCCAAAATAGTTCAATGTATTTATGAACAGGCGTCCCGTGTAGCTTGTGCAATACTTTCGTGGCGTGAACATATTTGCTGAACCTAATAATATGAAGGGCTGCAATATTTAGGACAAGACGGAGCTACTTTAAATTGATCTGAGAGATAATTATCAATCAAAATAATTAATGGACTAACTCTTCTGTTGTTTCTGGTCTTTTCTGTGGCCAGAATCTGTTTCTGGGGGTGAAATAGCGTGTACATATGAATACGGTAATGTATTTATATTTATATACATGAGCCCCGGGATTTCACAAGAATATTGATTGAATAGTGGGTTATCCTGTATGCGTGGATGGTAGGTTTTACTAGTTTTGATTGAAAGAAAAATGGGTTACACAGTTATGTTTTGTCTGAGTTCAGTTTTAAATAGTTCAGTTCCACCAATATCGTATATACCTGGGTACATGTGTTCATAACTAACAACCGATTAGTTACAAAACTGACTAAATGCTGATTTTAACATTCATTCGCTTGAAAAGTAGTATTTTTCCAACGACTTTATATCAAATCAATATATTGAATGTGTGTGTTCAATTATTTCTACTCACCATGCCATGTGTCGCCTCTGTCACGTGAACAAGAACATCTAATTGGTCCACTGGAAATAACACAACATAAGAATTAAGCAGTGACTATACTTTTCTACAACTGGGACTACATATTTAATGTATACGTTTTGCATGCAACGTCCATACTTAGTATATTTAAACCGGAATAAGAAATCTAACCTGTTAAGTTGTAGGCAAATTTGACGACCATGAAATAGAACTCATTCACTAACATAATTCACAAAAGCTGTTCAATCAATTTAATGCGAAAATACTTACTCTATATATTCTAATATGCAGACAAACACAGCGCCATCTACCGGATCCACAATGAAACCACGTTCATATTGATCAAGATCTGTAAATGAAGATGTGGAATATACTGTATATTGTATTTCAACATATTGTATTTATTAAATACTTTATAATGTTTTTTTTTTTTTACACATTACCATATGACCTTGGCCTCCACAACGTTTTACGACTGTATGCAATGCAATCAATACATTTATACATTACCAGGGGGAGTGGCATGACACGATTGGTTTTCCTTTATACATACATTTATATTTATGAGAAATTTCACTGTATCGCGAATTTCGTTTGAGTTTATGCTTGTCAAATTATGCAATTAATGTAAGGTAACACACTAAATAAAGTCAAAGGTAAAAGAATTTCGATAAATTGAGTATGAGAACAAGAGTTACAAAAATGTATATAGGACATTATTTAAAAATACATTGTACTGGAATAGCGAAAAAATGGAAATCAAGAGTCGTGTTCCTACAAAATGAACTGAGAGTATTGTTTCATTACATCTTAATCCAGCTTGCGCTGCAGAGTGCAATTAATTTACATCAAAAGAAAGACTACATATGCTACATTTATTTTGAACTAGTTCGATACACTAATCGGTGACCAACTAAGGAATCTTATGAATATACACCCAAGAAAAAAACAATCCACGGAAAATCGTAAGTAAAAGTAGTTTCCCTAAGTCCGCCAAATTAACAAATTTACTTATTAAGTATTATTGGTAATAAGTCTATTTATTTGATTATGAAATCTGGTTTTCTTTAATGAAGAGACCATATTGCTATTTTTGTTAATGTGAGTGAGAAATAATTTATTATATTTTTAAACGTATACTGTGCTATTTTGGAATACGACAATTTGTATTATTATTTTTTGGTGTTATCCTGTATGTGGTTGACGTACTTTATATTTGTGATTAACCGTATTACAGTGATTGTTCAGTTTATTACATTCGTGTTTATCATTTTCTGTTCCAAATGGTCTATACATGTCGATCTTACCTGGTAGTGGTTTTGTAGTCTGACATACGTCTGAAAAAATAAGATAATTATTATTATTGTTGAGTTGTATGTAGTATCTTAATTGACTAATTGATCTTAATAACTATAATAATATGATTGAAGTAAACAAAAACATGTATTTTTCATTTGAATTTTTTAGTTATCGATTAATGATGGAACAAGATATTGAAATTGATTACATGTCTTACCCATATATGTGTCGTCATTGGTTTTACGGCATCCGTGTAATTGAAATCTCATAAGCGGATATTCATAAATATGATTTTCCATCGGCATGTACTCGGTTGGTGATATCCTGATATACCGACACTCGATTGGGTCATTCAAAATATGCTCAACAAAAGGTACATCGGATGAATCATTGTATATATTAACGAATTCCTACAAATAAAATCCTAATATTTAGCAGTCTGTACCCAAGGATGAAAGCAGTACGGTAACTGTCGGTAACTTGTGAATGCAACCAATAAATTGACAAACTACCATGGACAGGACACAATTGGTTCAAATAATCTTGTCATTTACATGAATTAATATTCATGAGCAATGAAAAACTCGTCTTTTCAGTAATAGTGTGCCAAAATGCTTTCTGATAACCAACATTGTAATTCTAAATTGACTGATTTTATCGTTCTGATGAACGATGACATTTCACTCTTAGACTAGTATTTAAATGGCGCATGATGTTTTCAATGACTTTCACCAGTGCAAAATTATCTAATTAATATACATTTCGAGAAATCACTGTGTGTTTTCATGGGCAGTTTGAAATGGGACAAGTTTGAACGCAATAAAATCAGGCGTAGATCACCCTCCTGCAAATAACTTTTAGCGCCAAACTAGTTGTTGGTTGAATTATTTTGCAATGCAATGGATAACATTTTAGGGCCTGTGTAAATCCACGTCATGTTTCTAAGTTTTGTTTGATTATTATGCGAAGAAATCGTTGACATGATTTTATTTTTTCGTAAAAGGGACGTTGTTGCTTTGACGATGGTCTTTGAAACGATGGACAATGAACCTCGAAACGTTCCATCTCGATCGGACGGCCGCCTTGTGTGCGAATCCCCCCTGCAAATTACGTTACTTACCAACACCACACCATTTTCTTGGTAATCTGTCCATACCACGCCTTCATTGCTATGTTTCAGTATATGCTTCGTTACATAGTACGCATCTTCAGCGCCGTATTGGATGGTTACCCCGGTAATGCGATATTTGTCCCCAAAGGACAACTGTGAAAAGACCAGACGAAGAAAAAAATAAATAAACACATTATGGAGATTCTGTACACCTGATATTCATTCATTCTGTTGGCCTTGTCTGAA